GTCTGATTCCAAGTCCCTCATTTTATAGAGGAAAACTGAAGCAATTAAAAATGAGTGGTTGACTATCTGAAAAAAAGAATCTTAGTTTAAATATACAATACTAGGAGCATTCAATATTAAATTTATCACTAGTTAAGGATGGGGCCTATTTTATTAAACTATAGGCTACATGTCGAAGGGGTATATAAAACATCAATGAAATTTGTGTTTACAACTGCAAATTTACAGAAAGTGCCTTTTTAATAAAACAAAACATTTCTCTGCTAAAATGGAACAGCTATCTCTGGACAAATACATAGAAAAGCACTTAATTTTATGCATGTAAATAAAACATTCACTCCACACCATGATCCTAGATAGGGCTGCTTTCTAAGAGGGCTGCTGGTTACTGCTACAGACTGTCTCTTTAAAAAATTAAGCTGGTTTAGACTTTAAGAAGTTTCATATAAATCACAAAATCATCAAGCTGACAACAATACTACTACTGATTTTTTATAGGGAAAGATTTTGAACTGAATACACAACTAAAGATTAGTGATTGGGCAAGATGATGTTAAACAAGGGAGAATTTAAAATATGAATATTATACCCATGTGCAAAGAACAATATGACCTATTGTTATCTATTATTAGATACTATCAAGAGCAGTATACAGGATGAACATCCCTAATCTGAAAGTTGAAAATACAAAACGCTACAAACTCTGCCACATTTTCAGTCCTGATATGATATTATAAGTAGAAAACTGTATACCCAACCTCATGTGATGGGTCACAGTTAAAACTCAGGCACACTAAAAAGAATTTATAAAACTATAGGTTACATGTCTAAGGAGTATATAAAACATCAATGAAATTTGTGTTTTGTCTGAGGCCCCATCCTTAAGATACCTCATTATGTTCATGCAAATATCACCAAATCTGAAATCAAACTCCAAATCCAAAACACTTCTGGTTCCAAGTATTTCGAACAATGGACATGGAACCTGTTGCATTTAAGAATGGAGCCATGCATGGTGTCCCTGTCTACTGATCAAGCACACGCTGTGCTCCTCCTGCACCAGGAGCCAGGGAGGTGCTACCTCCTGGAGAGAGTGCTGGCGCCCCAGTGTGGCTTAGAGGAGCTACTGCCATTCACTAGCCTTTCAAGTTCTCTCTGTCAGCCTCCACTCTTCACCTGAGAAACAGGGATAACACATTCAATCTTCTGGAATTGTTGCAAAAGAATATGTTTGCTAGGGTGCAGAGTCCTCTGCTTGCTCCTTCATAGAGAAGTCCCTGGGGTGTCTCCAGGCAGTTATTCCCCAAGCTCCAGGTTCTGTGCAGCAACAGACCCCGTTAAACATGGAGTCTTCTGGGAGTTTCCAGTGCAGAAGGAGGGAATTTAAGACCAGTCTTGTGTTAGGCGGTGGTTCTAATTTTCTCTGCATAGCTCACATTTTCACTTTTAAGGTGCATGTCCTCTTATACCAACTCAGCTTTATTTTCTTAGTTTCTTTCCCTGGCATTCAGAAATAATTCCAAAATCTTTTGTGATACTGTCCTGTGTGATGACTTACAGGATTCAGGAGCTATTCCCAGTAAGGAATGCCACCAAACATACTAATATTTGAATATACTATTGTAGATCAAAAGCACACAAAACATTCAAAAGCTTCCATCAAGATTCGTAAGTTCCTAGTAAATCCTTCTCTGCTACTTAACAGTCAACCTCAAATCAGGTAACTATTTTTTTTTCTGTAAATATTTAGAAATTCTGTAATTCAGTTGAATTCTCACATCATTTAGATGGTAGGGGATGAAAAGATAGAGATGTGAATCCTTGAAATAGGAACCAGGGATCACTGGACAGAAACATTTAATGTGAAATTAGAGAAGGTTCATGTCTATCCTGCAACTGACCCAACCAAGTTAAAGGCCAGGAGTCCAGATGCCTAAGGCATGTGAGCTGCTGAGTTCTGGTCAAGTCATATTTTATCCATCCAACACATATCTAAGTGGGTATTTGTCATGTTCCAGCCACTCCGCTAGAATTTAAGAATAAAAATGTGAATCAAGTAGACCAATGGTCTGTTATCACTTTCATGGGGATTTTCAAGGGAGAAAAGTAAAATGATTAAGCACTGAGAGAAAAAAAAAAGAAGAAGAAATTACAAGAGATATCCACAGCATTAAAGTCGACTCTAGTCAAGAAAGTCAGATGCCATAAGACTCCCTGGACCTCCTTTGAGCTGAGACTCCAAGGGGAGTGACCAAAGTAAAGGGCAATAATGAGAAAAGGTTCCCCTGCACAGGGGACAGGATGTATAGAGGCCCTGAGGTAAGAGGAAACCTGGAACATGGCCCAGGGTTCATAAAGGATGGGAGTAGGGAAGGGAGGGAAAGAGATAAGAGGGAAAGAGAGAGGTCAAATCAGGTAAATCGTTATAGGGTTTCAGGTCTTTCCAGATGGCACTGAAGGATTATATAGAGATGTTATTTGATCCTCGCCTTGGGTTATTCCCTGTGTACAGTAATGGGGTGTGGCATCGTTTCAGGGGCTAAACTCTTAATCATAGAGCCCTTTAAGAAATGGCCTGATCTAGTCAACGTTAGCAGAGGGGCTACTTGTGAGCTTCCCGTCACTGTGACAAAATACTTGAGATCAACCTCTAAGAAGGAGGAAAGATTTATTTTGGTCCACAGTTTTAGTCCATGGTTGGTCATTTGACCCTATTGCTTTTGAGACTATGGTGAGGCAGAACATCATGGAGTGAACATATGGCAGAGGAAACTACTCTTTTCATGGCAGCTGGGAAGTGAGAGAGAAAGGAGGCAGGGTGTCCGGTGGAGTCCCAGTCTCCCTTTCAAGGCATACCCCCCAATGACCTAACTTCCTTCCATTAGACACCTCCCCCACCCCTGTTTCCACCACCTCCCAATGGACATTAAAGATCCAGCCATAACAGGGGCATGATTTGTCTTATTTGCTCTAATTTAGAAGAAAAATGAAAAGGTTATTTTAAACTCAATCCTTTGTCATCCATTTACAAAAACAAATAGAAGAGTAATTTTTCTGAATTTTTTTTAAAAAAGTAGATAACCTTTACCTGTAGTAGCCTAGGTCTATAAAGTGATTCCGAGTCTGTAATCTCTAAAGTGACGATGGGCACTAAGTTTCCCGAAAGGTTGATTTGTCACTCATCTTGTTTATGATTCACAATCATTCTTAAAAGCATTCTGTGACTCAAACTCCTAGAAATTATTGTTTAAAGGATTATTATTTCACTATGCTTGTAGAACTGGCCTGATTTGATTACCAGAAGTAAAACCTTATTCTGCTATGACATTTTTGAACAATCCCTAAACAACTTTTCTTTTCTTTTTCTATTTAAAAAATAACCTGAGGTTTATGGGCATCTAGTAATGAGGTGAAGGGGCATATAAAACCAGCTTTACAAGGGCAGGCCTGGGTGTGAATTCCTTCCAGAACCTTATTTAATCTGTAAACTTGGTTGTTTGTTTTGAAACATTTATGCTTCTATATTTCTTTACTTATATGGATACTGTTTCTTTAGCTTTTTATGATGAATATATACATGTATATACACATATGCATATTTATACATACATATATAAAACTTGGCTCAGAGCTTTCCATACTGAAATAACAATCAAAACAAGTTCTTACTTGCAAGCATCTTTCTCACAAGGGTATGTAGGCACAGACTTTTAAGAAAACTCAATGAAAATGGAAGGGGAAACTGAGTTTTCAATGACTCAGTGATTCTTTTTAGGAAAATAGAAATATCTTTGGATTCAAATTTGTTTCCCATTTGAAAAATAGATACTTTGCAATATATTAACTAAAATATTCCACCTCATCTCTGAGAATCATTCTCCCTTCTTACCCTGGACTTGTCCCCACCTTCCTTTTAAGGCTCAAAGGTGACTGTTGCTTACCTGCTTCTGTTCAGCTGGTGGATTTATTTCTTGTACCTTTTGCTGACATCTCACAAATTGTTAGAGCTAGGGGGAAAAAAAAATCTGCATTGAATGTTGAGTTGCCTGGTGTTTGTTTAATAGAGCCACATGTTTCTACATTAAAAAAAAAAGATGAGAAAAGAGAAGGATTTTTATATCACAACTATCAAAGGGGAAATTGTTTCAGTGAATGTGAGTGGCCGCTGGTCTCCTTTCTCTTGTTTGTTTCAATTTCTGGTGGTAAAGATGCCTGAAGAGTAAGATTGCAACCAGCGAAGCATAAAACACCCGAAGGAGGAGGAGAAAGGTTGGCTGGAAGATAAAGCTCTTTTAGATCTGGGAGAATCGCGCTCCCTTTCCCTTCCCTTTCCAAACCACAGCCGGTCCTGTAATTAGCGGAGCAAGTCAATCTGAGCTAGGCAAATCACTGGTTTTCCATGAAATAATTATATTTCTGATGCTCTCAGACATGTTCACCTCTAAGCCTAAAAACAGAGAAAGATGGTTTTTATTTTATTTTTTTTTCTTTTTCATGAGCTGGGGGAGGGAGAAGAATAGTGGAATCGACAGTGTTACAATGAGCGAAACCAGTACAAGGTAGGAAAGAAAAGGATTCTGTGGGAGCGTGGGAACACTGCGTTCTGCACAGGGAGTTTCAGTGCACAGAGAGAATGCCTTGTATTCGATTTGCTAACTCTCCAAAGGGGAATAAAGTGAGGCTTTTCTAAACTTTCTATACAGCGAAAGTGAGCTCCTTGCTTGTCTCGGCCTCCGCAGCACGCGGACCGGGGTGATAGCACCCCCTCTTTCTCCAGAGCTGCGTTTCTCCTCCCTCCCCTAAGCCTGCGGACTCTTCTCCCGTGCCCAGCGCACCCGGGTGTCTCCTTGCAGGACTGGGAACAAGAGTGCGTCGCGTGGGTAGCGTCGGTCCCTTCACTGGCTGGACGCCAGAGGCGGCCTCCGGGGCGGGGACAGCTCCGGCCACCATGCGCGCAGCGGGGCGATTCCACCCACAGCTCACCGGCCCCGAGGGTGGCCCGTCTTGGCATACGGGACCGACAAGAAAGGAGCACAGTCGTCGCCCCCGCGGCCACCAGGGCCTCGTGTCGCCCGCAGGCTCCAGCAGGTGCGCAGTGCACCGGCTGTGTCCTCGAGTCCTCCCGCCCCGCGGCCTGGGCGCAGCGCCCGCCCCGCCCTCGTCCCCGCCCGCGGGCCGCCCGGGGCAGGGCCTGCAGCTGGGGCCCGTGAGCCGCGGACCGGGCATGGGCGGGCGGCTGTCGGCGGAGGGCGGCTGAGTGCGGCCAAGGGTCCGCGCGGTGACCTCCTGTCGCCGTGCGCTCCCCTTCAGTGAGCCTGTTCGCAACGGGGACCAAGCCCGCTGGCTGCAGAGACCCGGCTCCGCGGCGGCGGTGTAAAGCTCTCGCTGTCCGGCTGTACGCGGGACTGAGCTGTTGGCGCTGTCCTGGCGCGATGCGCTGAGCGCCCGGCTCCCCCGCTGCACCCAGAGCCGACCCCATGGAACCAGCAGGCACCGGGCGGAGCCTGCTGGCGCCGCCGCCTGGGCTTCTGCTGCTGCTGCTCCTGCAGGTGGCGGGGCCCGCGGGCACCCTGGCAGAGACCCTCCTAGACTCTCCAAAGGCCAGGGGCACCAGTTCCAGCCCACCTAGCCCGGCGAGCGTGGTGGCTCCGGGAACCACGCCGTTTGAGGAAAGTCGTCTGCCGGTGTTCACTCTGGATTACCCCCACGTGCAGATCCCCTTCGAGATCACCCTGTGGATCCTGCTGGCCTCCCTGGCCAAGATCGGTAAGCGAGCTGGACCTGCAGGGTGGGGGCGGGGACGATTGCGACGCAGACTCCTGGTGGGTGACCTAATAGGTGAGTTGACCTCCTAGTCCTGGCCATCTGCTCCTGAACAGAGGCGACTCATGGAGCAACTTCTGCCCATTGAAAACGTCTTTGAGAAGAATAGTTTCATGCTTTGGTTCCTAAGTGGACATTGGCCTTGAAATGGCCCCAAAGGATTAGCCCATACAAATTTAGTGATTTGCTGTTTGATCCGGTTTTGAACGTCAAGTTTGACAGCTCTTTGCCAAAGTGAGACCTGTTTGCTGAGGGAGGAAGTGGGTAGGCTGAAGCATATCAGTCGTACCTACAGGAGACAGGTGCAAGTGAGCACCAAGGCTAAAATCACTAAAGCCCTGGATGCTGGAGGAGAGAGGGCATTGGCAGTGACACAGACCCTGCCATAGCCCTGACTAATGAAGAACATGGAAGGGGACCAGTACACTGTAGTGCCTGCAGCAGACAAGAGTGCCCTGTCTCCTTCCTTTTTTTTTTTTTTGAGCTGAGACTGTCACTCTCTAGGAAACATTTCCTTTAGAATGACTGAGGCCAATGAGGTGAGAGGCACATATTTAAAAATAACTAACTTTTCACATCATCTTTTACTCCTATTCGGAAAACAGAACACCTAGGTTGTGTTTTCTCATCTTTACCCTTCCTACCGGTAATCTTTTACATTATATTCCTGGTGCTCTCTTTCATTTTTCCCTCTACATTTTAAAGACTCTTGTAAAGCCCTTAAAGTATATTAACTACTATTATCATGATTTGAAAAAGGTATAAGGTCAAGAGATTTTGTACATTATCTCTTCTCCTTGTGGGGTGAGACAGTTTTCCATAAAGGATGAAAGAACACATTACCTGTCACCCCCAGGAATTTTATTAATTAGTGGAGAGAGGCATATACACCAGTGGTTATATCACACAGGGAAATGCTAGTAGGGTGAGAAATTCATAAAATATAACATGGCAATATAGAGTGTCTGGGGTCACTTTCTTGGGAGAGGAAGCATGCAAACTGGGTTTTCAAGGATGACCAGGGACTGGTCAATTGGAGATGACAGGGAACAACATTCCAGACCAGAATGAACAAAGGCGTAAATTGAAGAGGACCTCAAGGCAGGCGGAAGGGATGATTTGTAAGAGGCTGGAAGTTGTGGGAGGTAAAGATAAAGCACATCTTCCATGTCAGATTAAATTAATTAGATTCATGGTGCCCAAAGAAGCCACATAATATTTAATGACTTTGCAGTCTCTAATTGCTTGGCTTTGGCATGATTCTGCTTGTTGAGTGTTTTCATTCCTCCTGAGCAACAATATAAAGGAAATGGACTTCCCCATCTATCCATCAGATGCATAAACTCATGGCCTCTAATAGTAAAATCAGATGCCATCTCTTCACATGAGTCTTACAACATCCCTGCCCTGTAGGGAATCCTGGTACTGACACTCTCACTTTATACAGGTACAAACTGAGGCTCAGAGAGTTTACACCCAGGGGCATGCCAAGTCAGGAGCTGGGTGCAGCGTTCTCCTCACCTTCAGGCTGAGTCTAGCGGCTCCATCCCTGGCAGGCTCTTTGTGGTCCCTGTCCATGACTGCTTTTTCTGTTGCCTTTTCTATTCCAACCTCCTTCCTCTGTTCTTCACTCCTGATTATTTTAATCGGATTAATTACACTAATAACAGCAGCTAGTAGGTACTTAAGTTCATTATCTCTAATTTTCACGGCCTCTATGCTGGGTTGGTATGATGAGCCTGTTTTGTATAGTAGGAATCTGAGATGTGGGGAGGTTTATTTGAGGTTTGTGTGGTGGGGGGGTGGAGGGAGCCAGAATTTCAGCCAGGTCAGTCTGATGCCTCATCTTTGTGTGTGCCCTGGAGACTTGTTGTGTTGTGAGGATTGAGAATGGATATGCAGAACATTGTCAGAACAGTGCTGGGGCATGTATTAGCCCTGCATCAGTGCCCTCACCCTTAGTGGCAACTGTGATGGTAGCCCCGTGAGAGTAGCAGTATTAATTGTGCTGTTTCTGGCACTTTAGTTCCTTTTCCACTGTCCTGGGCTGCCTCCGGTATTTCTCTCCATCTGACTTAGTTTCAGCCTTTTTCAAGTGTCCTTATTCTGTGAGTGATGCACTTGATGTCTTTCTGTAGTGTTCCGTTCATCTTATTTGACCTCATCACTTTCATTGTGTGGTATTCTGTTAAAAGTCATTCGTGCTGGCTTATGTTAAAAGTCCGCAGGTGTATCTATCTGCTCATGGGCAGTTTCTTAGCCTGCATGTGTTTCTCTTTCTTGGCCCAATTCTTTTCTACCTGGCACAGTTCCTCCATCCTGTATTGCATTTCACTGTGGAAATCATTACATATCCCACATGCATCCTCCAGATCCACCTGCCATTCACCCAGTTCTGCACTATTTTATCTTTGCACCTGGAGCAATGAAGAGATACAACAAGAATATTCACATCTTCTGTCCAGAGAGGAGTCTGAGCTGCCAAGTGCAGTATGTGATGGGTGAGGTGAAGGGTATGGTTCTCGGGATGAGCAAACAGAGTTTTGGAATACAAAAAACTGGTACTGAATCTTGTGCTGTTTTTGCTTTCCGCAGCGCAGCCCTCTCCTGCTTCCTCAACTGTGTACCTAGAGGAATGAATACTCACAAAGTTCCAACCCTTGCTCCTGCCCCTGAGCCCTGAACTTTGACTTTGGGCAACACTGTCCCAGTGCTTTTACGACCCATTCAATAGTCACCAAGTCATTGAAATTCTGTTCTTACTTATGTGTTGGAAAAGCTGTTATTTGGGGGTGGGTAACTTATGTATCCTAAATTGTTCCTATTTGGGAAGGAGGGTGAATTGGGCTAGGTAGGGGATGTGACCCTACAAGGTAACAAATGCTAACTCTTGCAGAGTGCTATGATTTTATTCGGGACACTTCATGCCATTTACCCAGAGTACCTGAGCTTACCTGCCCCAGAGAATGTGGAGAGACATTACTAGTGATTATTCTATAAAAGAGTAACAGGTTCCCCAAAGTGGAAACGTCTCTTAGCATTAGTAGGAAGTTTAGATAATCCCCAGTGGTGAATTTATAGTGGTTTTCTAAATTGCAGCACATTATAATGTTAGAAATATTATACTTAGGACTGAGAAAACACTAATTTGGAGGAGCATTGAATGATTCAGTTTAGCTGCTCATTGTTTTACCTAATTATCAGGGAAGAATCAGCCTCCTAATTATTTGGTTAAAAATAGTAGTTTTGTAACTATAAAATTTCCTAAAAGTCTGATGGTGATGATAATGGTGATGGTATGCATGTGTATGTGAAGTAGTCTAAAAAAACAAAAGAACATAGTAAATTTAGTACACTTTGGAGAAGCTTTAAACGTTTTGGCAAGAAACATTTCCCAGTTTGTTTTTTTTCCCCTTAAGTCCTCACACACGTGAACTTCTATTATTCTTTCACTTTGAATATTTATGTTTTGAGCAACCCTTGATTTTTTTTTTTTTGTAGTTATAAATACACTTTGCCTGGTCAACCCTGGATGCAGGGATGGAGTTCTACAGCTTGGATTGATAGGTTGCCAAGGAATGAATAAAAGGAAAATTTCCTCGTGTGGTGTAGGATCATCTGCTCTGATTTCTTGGCCCATGAATTGGGTCAGTGGGGTTTGTGCTCACTTGAGCGAATGGAAACTCCGGGTCCCCTACTCTTTAAAGGAACAAAGTTCCCTTCTCCCCCGCGCCCCCTCAGCTTCTTCATGAACTCTTTCCTAAGTCCTTAGGGTCTCCTGGGGCTGGTCTGTCTGCCTCTTCTCCTAGGTAGAATGGTCGTTTGTCTTTTTCGTTTCCTTTGCCCCTATTCTTGAGGTGAGACTGCAGAATCTTCCACTTCCTCCCATTCTGTTGTCTTAGAGTTAAATAACTTGAATTCTTATCATTTTAAGGGAATGGCAGAAAGCAATTTGACCCAAAGAAGATGTGTCCTCTGGGCTCCAGGCTGTCCTGAATCTGAAATATAAAACTTGAGAGTTACGTATCTGCCTAAATTACAGAGATTTTTATCTCTGTGATTACCCATCCTTGCAATTGGTCTGTTTCTTTGTGCTGTTGGTTTACCTGAAGTGTGTGGCTGGCCATGGTATGAATCTCCTGATCTTCACCTATTATTTCAATGACATCTGGTGTTGAACACACTTTTAATGTCAGGTATTCCTTGTGGCATGTGGTACTGGGTCTCAGTCAAACTAAGAGTTTTGATTCCCTTCTTTCTGGAAACTTCTATCTACTCCCATGGGGGTGGGACATACATTTTGTGTGCCCTGTGTGAAGGAGGACTTCAGAAGCTCTCTCATGTTTTTTTCTGAAGACCAACGCAGGTGTGTTCTAGAATTTTGTCACTATGCTCTACTACCCAGGTGTTTTTGCGCCTTTTACACTAATAACAGATAACTGTTTGCCAGTTGAAAATGGTACTCTGTATCAACTTGAACAAGGAGAGTCATATTTATCATTGTTGGGACGTTTGATTTCTTTTTTTTATGGCAACTCTAATTTTTTTTTATTTTTATTTTTCCTTATTACACATACAGAGCACAAGTTTTCATATCTCTGGTTGTATACAAAGTTTATTCACACCAATTCATGTCTTCATACATGTACATTCCACCATCATTTCTAACCCCATGCCTCCTCCCCTCCCCTCCAACCCCTCTGCCCTATCTAGAGTTTGTCTATTCCTCCCATGCTCCCTCTCCCTATCCCACTATGAATCAACCTTCTTATATCAGAGAAAACATTAAGCATTTGGGTTTTGGAGACTGGGATTTCTTTCAGAATTGACTTACCTTGAAACCCTAAGAAGTACATAAGGCTTTATACAGAACTTTGTATAAAATTGTTTGTTTTCTTGTATGGTTGGATAAACTAACCTACATAAAACTGTGTGAATTTAAT